TTTAGGCCTGATTCTATTCACATTGTATACCAGACCACTGCTCCTCTTGCTTAAGAGGCATGCTGTTGAGAGCCAGTCATTTGCAGATGACACGCAGCTATACAAGCATACCCATCCTTTTCTTGTTGAATCCGCTGTCCAGACTTTGCGGGGGTGCATTGATTATGTCAAGTCATGGATGATACTCAGCAAGTTGAAGCTTAATGATGACAAAACGGAATCAGTCCTCATCCACAATCACACATCATCCTCTACCTCAACTCTTCCCACCTAATTTCAAATAGGTAACTCAGGCATACGGTTTACACCCTGTGCTAGGAATCTTGGTTATATTCTTTCTAACAACATGTCTCTTGATAAACATATATCTCACATTTGTCGTTCGGCATACACCGCCATCCGTCAGATCAGCTCCATACGTCACTACCTTACAGTTAGCGCTACAAAAACTCTAGTCTGTGCTCTTGTTCTCTCTCGTCTTGACTATTGCAACTCTCTTCTGTCAGGTTCACCAAAACACTGCATAGAAAAACTGCAGAAAGTTCAAAACTCAGCTGCTAGGCTAGTTCTAAAGGCAAAAAAACGTGATCTTGTCACTCCACAACTCCACTCCCTTCATTGGCTACCTATACAGGCACGCATTGACTACAAGTTGTCTGTTCTCTGTCAAAACTTTTTCTTGGATTCCTGCCCTTTATATCTAACCGAACTTCTTTCTGTCTATTCACCCCTTCGACAGATTCACTCCTCTGCAGACACGCGTATTCTGTCCGTTCCCAAGACACACACTAAAACATATGGTGAACGATCTTTCTCTTCCTGCGCCCCCAAACAATGAAATTCTTTGCCACTACACATATGCAATATACCAACCACCCAGGCCTTCAAAACTGCACTAAAACATATCTTTTTAAATTATACTACCCTGACTGATTCCCCTCCTCTGACTGATAAATGATCTTGCTGGCTTCCGTCCATGGTTTGTCTCGTAAAAGTTATGTGGTGGGGTGGGTGAATATACATTGCTGTTTATATGTATTTTATTTTAATGTCATGATTATGTCTCTTTTGATAAAATTTTATGAACAGCTCGGTGAGCCAAGCCCTAGGCTGGGGTACCGCGCTATATAAGACCCCTTTATTATTATTATTATTATAGTAAGAGTAAGATTGACATACAATGTTTATGTACTTACCATGTCAATGAATTGACTAAATGTTAACTAATGTAGCAAGTGTAATGTGGAATATCTAGAAGATAGTAACCATCATCCGAATTATTTCAAAGCATTAATGTGGATTCATATATCACATCATATGATGTATATATTTAGAAGATTTGTTTCTAAAAATTTGTTTCCAGAAATGTTTGTATAGGGATTGGGCGCGTAACATTATGTGTTATAACTTTATGTGTTATAACTTTATGTGTTATAATTTGATTTTATGTAGAATCAGGGGAGACAATAATAAACAGATATAACGGACGCGTTGAGGCAGCCATGTTGGAAGATTTCGTGGTATGATGCGGAGCTACAATAAATTGTGTTATAACGTCAGGACGATAGTAAAGATAACTAATCAACACATAAGATAATATATATCAATATCCTGTATTATAAATGAAGCTGTTAATTTATTACGTATATTCCGTTTTATTGAAATAAAGTGCCACTGATTATTTACATCAAGTGACTGGATCATCATTCTAATTTCTTTGATGGCTTGATGTAGCAGTGACAGTTATTCAGTTATCATAGACTTAACCATCCTCTCTGTATTACCAACACCAGGGTGAATGGTTACAGGTAGCAAACATTAAGTCCGAATATAAGCCTCGTATTCCCTTCAAGTGTCACTCACATATATATAAAGTATATATATATATATATATATATATATATATATATATATATATATATATATATAAAGATCACACGTGCATCAAAACGTGTAATCACTACGTCATGGGTTCCACCCTTTAATCCCGTGATTAGAGTTGCAAACATTCAGTCGTTTCTTTCAACGTGAGGATGTTTATGTACTGAGTGTGCGGCCTGCTTGTATCACTGCAACGAAAAGATCATAATCTTTAGATGGTATTTCGTCATGTTAAAAATACCTAGGCAACATCCCAGGTAATGATTTAGACATCCCGATTCATACATTTAGTGGCAGGGGTCATCCCCCCCCCCCAACATCGGGGCTGTAGTTCCGGCACATAACAGCAAGAACACAGTATACGAACTGCTCATTCCTGCCCAAGATAACCAGGGACTGAAACATGCTTCCAAAAGGAACATCTGAGGCGACAAAACTTGACACATTTGCGTCTATTGTCACAGGCCTTCCAACCCCGAGTTCCTGATACCATCGCTGAGTAGCTCTTGAAACCAATGAAATATCCTCTTCAATATCAAGCACAGAACCATTGCAAATCCCCTCTACATACATAGGAGCTAGAATTATCAATATATTAATCGTGTGCACTTAATATAAATAGAAAAAGACGAGGCACTAACACTGACGCCCCAGGCGTTACCGGGAATACAGCTCGACCATGTATTTGACCCGAGTGTGGAGACAAATTTTTGCAGGTATATGTGTGAGAAATAGCACAGATGTGTGGTACCTACTCAATTACGGTTGAAAATAACGCCAAAAACAGGTCGGGATCATGATTAATAGTATCCGCTTATGGATTTGTGGCATGGTTGATTTGTGGCAGCTCATGTCGACGATTCTATCATACAGCCCTTGAGGGGAATGTACTTAAGCCACCTTACAGTCTTTGAGGAGATTTTTCTTAGGCAGCGTACTGTCTTTGAGGTGACTATTCCTAGGCACACATACATCCCTTGAGGGGAATGCACTTAAGCCACCGTAAAGTCTTTGAGGAGATTGTTCATAGACAACCATACTGTCTTTGAGGGGATTACTCTTAGGCAAGTGTACAGCACTTTAGGGGAATGTTCGTAGGCAACCGTACAGCCTTTGAGGGGATTGTTCTTTGGCAAACGGACATCCCTTGGTGGAATGTTCTTAGCCAACCGTATAGCCTTTGCAGGGATTGATTTATCTTAGGAAACCGTACAGTGTTTGAGGGCATTGTTCTTGGGTAACCGTATAGCCCTTGAGGGGACTGTTTTTAGGCAACCGTTCCGTCCCAGGTACTATTTTTAAAACCCTTTTTGGGTATGTCTGACGTCACTCAGGGCTCGAACAACGGTGAATATTTCGGACATTCATATATACGGGCTAGTATTAGTAAGTTCGATTGCTGGTGTGTCGAGAGCAAGACTACCAACTAACCAGGTGCTTCTTTGTTGAGATTGCTCCCCCTTGCCTGGTCAATCGAGTGGACGGCAGGTTGGGCTGTCTGAGCGGAGGTAGATTCCAATATTTGGATTGGGAGAAAAGAGGTTACGCTGCCGAGGAGGGCCCTATGAGCTTCGGCTTAAAGATGTGATGTTTTTCCTACATATTATTTTAGCGGCAAGGGTGCGGTCTGCATTGCCATGGGTATCTAGTGCGAGCTAATATCTGAAATAAGCATAACATGAACGAACGATGCAAAAAATAAAAAAAAGATCAAAATATTATTGGGGTCAACAAACAGACGATAAAAAATAAGTGCACTATCTGAACCCTGGTGAGATTCTGGAAGATCTGGTTTGAAAGCGACTAAGTTTTAACTTTGACAAAATGGGTCGTACCTTGATGTTGAAAACCGAACGTTATTTTGATGACAAATTTATCAGTGTAACAGGTCATAGACCGGTGAGGTACAAGCCATTGAGTGTGAAGACCTAACGACACCTCCCCCACAAATAGACCAAATTTTGGGCAAGGCAGAGATCATAGATAAATAAATAATGTTTATAATATAAATTAAAAAATAAAAATAAACAAGAGATCACACAAAAATTGAGGCAAAGCTCATTTTCAAAAATCGAATACAATTATTGATGCGCGTTTAATGTTTGATCACAAATAATGCGTGACGCAATCATTAAATCGTTTGATTTTTGTCTACTAAATAATCACCATGAGATAAGTCAAAATATTATACATCAACTAATTTTATGATGTGATTAATTCATCAAATGGGTTAACACGGATAAGAAATGTAATCGATTATCAAATTTCATCATTTAGTTTTTCGAGGAAGTTTTAACAAAACTCAGATGATTCTGATGGAATAAAATAATAGGAGAAATTCGAAATGTTTACTACGATACCGAAACTACCACCATAAAAATAAACAAAGAGCACGATACTCCGATGTATTGCCGAAGACAGAACCTTACTGTAGGATTCCTAAACTTTTTGAGACATGGCGTCTCTAATATTTTAAAAATTGAATGAAATATCTCTTTAAAAACATACAACGGCAAGGATTCATTGTTAGGCACCACCTACTGTAATTTCAAGCACATTTTGGGCACTACTTGCTGTAATGTAAAGGACATTTTGGGCAATACTTGCTGTAATTTAAAGCACATTTTGGGCAATACTTGCTGTATTTTAAAGCACATTTTGGGCACTAATTGGTATAATGTAAAGCACATTTTTGTCACTAATTGGTGTAATGTAAAGCAAAGACTTTGTTTCAGCTCATTTCTTTACACGTCTGTAGACGTTGAGCACAAACGCGTATTTTATAGGCTTGGTAAAAGGTGTCAAGATGACTGACACATTCTAACGTGTTTATTTAATGAGAGCTTCGAGTCGGCGTGTTTGGTAAGCCAGCTGGTTGTGACACGATCTTACCATTCAGTTACTATCGGTTCTTTTTTTTTTTTAATTCCAAAAATAACCGCAAATATGAATACACCTAATTACACCACCCCTTCCCCAACCCTTCCCACACCCAATGTAACCCTTAAAAACATTTTAGATGATAAGCTGGCAGTGCCCGTGTGGTTCCCACCCCCCACCTGGTGTCCACCCACCAATGACATGCCTGATTCAAGGTGTTTTGAACACTTCGGTAGGTACGTAAAGTTAATTTACGTCGCTCTCGGTGACGTGTTTTCGAGACTTCAGTCTGCCAAAACAAGGACCGTCGCTAGGGGATATCGTCGGTAAGTTCATTGAATACTTTATGCTTTATGTATAATCTTTATTGAAGAACATTTTATCTATAGAAGATTTAGCGTTGCCAAATTGTTGCTTTACTTTTTTGATGCATAGAAGCACAGAAACATTTACTGCGTTGTAATTTTTTCATATTTTAGTTTTTCAAATATCAACACAAACTTTTAAACTATTTATATATTTATAAACTGATATATTTCTAAGTCTTTTAATAGTGTATTGCATAATTTGAACATACAATTAAGTATTCTAATAAATAGAAAATGTCGTTGGTTTGGTTAATTTCAGGACTTTGTTTTGTCTGACAGAAAAAAGACAAAGACACAGAACTTTCGTGTCAGATGATGGTCACCATGGGGGTCAAAATGTTTTGGACACTGGCTCTTTTCGTTTTCATCTACACTTCACAATCTCAAGGTATCACGTGATCAAGTTATTAGTTATTTACAAAATAAGATGGTAGTCATCAAATAAGGAATTCATACATTTAAATTTAAGAAATGACGTCATCAAAAAAAAAGGAAGTCCTGCAGTTTAATTAAAGAAAGGACGTCATCAAATAAGGAAATCATACATTTTCATTAAAGTAGTGGAAACTTATCGAAATTCAAACTAAATAATTTTTTTTCTCCTTGGACATCATATCTATTGAAAAAGAAAATTTGATTAAAAAAAATAAACCATGAATTTCGTAGGACAATTTTGAGTAAATTTTTGTCTCCTTTCTTATTTGCTGTAATTATTTGAAATTTGAATACATTCTCTAACTCAATCAACGTGTGTTAAATAGTAATTAATGAGCGAAACAACGTTTAAGAAAACCTGTCAAATAAGGGAAGAAAAATAAACGAACGTATCGGCCAGAAGCCTTCAGCGAACAAACAACAGCAAAACCAACTTAAAATACAAACAAACTATAAGCTTTAATGCAATATACGAGAGAAGCAAGAGTAATAGGACAGACTGTAAGTAGTTGAAGTATTAGCAAGAGGATAGTGACAGAACACAAGTAGGTGAGAGGAAAGCAATAGGAATATGACATGGAAAAGGTAGATGAAAGAAAAGTAAGAAGAATGTGTCATAACACACGTAGGTGAGAGGAAAGTAAGAAGAATCTGACATAACACATGTAGGTGAGAGGAAAGTAAGAAGAATGTGACATAACACATGTAGGTGAGAGGAAAGTAAGAAGAATCTGACATAACACATGTAGGTGAGAGGAAAGTAAGAAGAATGTGACATAACACATGTAGGTGAGAGGAAAGTAAGAAGAATCTGACATAACACATGTAGGTGAGAGGAAAGTAAGAAGAATGTGACATAACACATGTAGGTGAGAGGAAAGTAAGAAGAATCTGACATAACACATGTAGGTGAGAGGAAAGTAAGAAGAATGTGACATAACACACGTAGGTGAGAGGAAAGTAAGAAGAATGTGACATAACTCAAGTAGGTGAGAGGAGAGTAAGAAGAATCTGACATAACACATGTAGGTGAGAGGAAAGTAAGAAGAATGTGACATAACACATGTAGGTGAGAGGAAAGTAAGAAGAATCTGACATAACACATGTAGGTGAGAGGAAAGTAAGAAGAATCTGACATAACACATGTAGGTGAGAGGAAAGTAAGAAGAATGTGACATAACTCAAGTAGGTGAGAGGAGAGTAAGAAGAATGTGACATAACACATGTAGGTGAGAGGAAAGTAAGAAGAATGTGACATAACACATGTAGGTGAGAGGAAAGTAAGAAGAATCTGACATAACACATGTAGGTGAGAGGAAAGTAAGAAGAATGTGACATAACACATGTAGGTGAGAGGAAAGTAAGAAGAATGTGACATAACACATGTAGGTGAGAGGAAAGTAAGAAGAATGTGACATAACACATGTAGGTGAGAGGAAAGTAAGAAGAATGTGACATAACACATGTAGGTGAGAGGAAAGTAAGAAGAATCTGACATAACACATGTAGGTGAGAGGAAAGTAAGAAGAATGTGACATAACTCAAGCAGGTGAGAGGAAAGTAAGAAGAATGTGACATAACACATGTAGGTGAGAGGAAAGTAAGAAGAATCTGACATAACACATGTAGGTGAGAGGAAAGTAAGAAGAATGTGACATAACTCAAGCAGGTGAGAGGAAAGTAAGAAGAATGTGACATAACACATGTAGGTGAGAGGAAAGTAAGAAGAATCTGACATAACACATGTAGGTGAGAGGAAAGTAAGAAGAATGTGACATAACTCAAGCAGGTGAGAGGAAAGTAAGAAGAATGTGACATAACACATGTAGGTGAGAGGAAAGTAAGAAGAATCTGACATAACACATGTAGGTGAGAGGAAAGTAAGAAGAATGTGACATAACTCAAGCAGGTGAGAGGAAAGTAAGAAGAATGTGACATAACTCAAGCAGGTGAGAGGAAAGTAAGAAGAATGTGACATAACTCAAGCAGGTGAGAGGAAAGTAAGAAGAATGTGACATAACTCAAGCAGGTGAGAGGAAAGTAAGATGGGGGACTGAGAAAATGTCTCGTGTGTCGTGGTAGGCGAGGAGAATGGCACTTTTTAAAAAATTTAAAACCTGTTTGGCAATCTCTGACATTGTGAGAATAAGTTCAATCCTGTCGTCATTGTCATTCGGACGAGGCCTGTAATCATCAGCACGGGTAATATTTTAAACTGTCAAAGCGCCGATGAATGCATTGTCTTCGGGTAACACCTGCAATGATTTAGTACACTGTTAAAATGTATTCTACTTCTATGTCTAAGAAATCGAGCACCCCCCCTCCTCCACTTTCTTTTTTTGCTCGAAATATCAACCATTGTGGTTTTGTTTTTATTTTTAATATTATTATTTTAGATTGAATTCATAGCAAGCATTTAACAAACCATTCAGCTGTAGTAAAAGCAAAACAAGAAGATTCAACATAATTCTTAAAACGAGCAAAAGGATGATAAATTGTTTCATTTTGTTTGTTAAGTACCAAGTGTCGCATGTTTTAATTGTAATACTGCTCGACTTCTTTAGAAAGATCAACTATATTTGCGAAACAAGAAAACACAATTTATTTTACCAGCTCATTTACATTAGGACATAGTGATATTTTTGTTTATTTATCTCATTAAAAATAATTATTACTTTTAAAAAAAAATTACAGGTGAATTTACCAAAGAAAAGATAACATACCTTACCCTGAAAGATGGAGAGCGATCCCAGTCAACATACGTAGGTCGTGTTGTCATTCAAATCAATAACGAAGATGTTCCTGGTGCCATCTGTGGGACTTGGACCAGAGAAGACGCCATTGTAGTATGCAGGATGTTGGGCTACAAGTCAGTAGATATATATTTACATTGATATGCTTTTTATAGAGCAAAGTATGAGACAATGATTGTCATTTCCGGCTGAGTGACTTCGTTATACACTTATTTAAATGTTTTTTCCATTAAAATAGATTGAACTGACTGAGCTACATTTCATTCTTTTATAGAAATACAAACTTTAAGCATTTCGGATACAACATAACTATGTAAAATATTCTATAATCTAAGATATTCTTTTCATTATTAAATACATATGTTTTGCACTAGAAGTGGTTTGTTGAAATATTATGTAATTGGACATACAATGAATGTATTCGATCATCGTGAGTTAAAACTAGCTTAATTTAAAATTTGGGAATTTGTTTAGTACTACTAACAACTTGTTGCATTCTTTTATATGAGGGTGCATACAAGCTCGCTCACCATGGCTCTATTATTAATAATATTATTATTAGCGATTTTATATAGCGCTGTACCCCAGCATAGGGTTTATCGAAGCAATTTACAAAAAATTACCATCAATAATTTAAATCATTTGAAATTAAACTGATAGATACATTTTGTGATTGAAAAATACAACTTTACAAAAACTCTCTAATGACGTTAAAAAAATTATTCAAACTATTACCTGATACTGAATTTTCTAATTACCACATAATACTTCAGTCTTCTAGTTATTACTTAATGTTAAAACTCAAATCTTCTATTTACTACTTAATAATCGAATCCTCTAATTACTACTTAATACTCGAATCTTCTAATTAATTCCTATTTCATTTAGTGATGGCAACAACGTACCATATATCAATTCGTACAAAGAGGGAAATCATAATTTTCTGATGAGTAATCTGAGATGTACTGGTCAGGAGACATCACTCTCAGATTGTCCTAGGGATCCAGACGTTAACTGTCCATACGTCGTAAGTTTAAAAAAAAAAATAGATTTCGTTTGATCTCACTAGATAATTTTTGGTACAAAACACACCTTCTTTAGACGGATCTCACTAGATTAGCTTTGGTACCAAATACACCTTCTTTAGAGGAATCTCACTAAGTTAGCTTTGGTACAAAACACATCTTTTTAGAGGGATCTCACTAGACTAGCTTTGGTACCAAATACACCTTCTTTAGACGGATCTCACTAGATTAGCTTTGGTACCAAATACACCTTCTTTAGAGGGATCTCACTAAGTTAGCTTTGGTACCAAATACACCTTCTTTAGACGGATCTCACTAGATAATTTTTGGTACTAAACACACCTTCTTTAGACGGATCTCACTAGATTAGCTTTGGTACCAAATACACATTCTTTAGAGGGATCTCACTAAGTTAGCTTTGGTACAAAACACATCTTTTTAGAGGGATCTCACTAGATTAGCTTTGGTACCAAATACACCTTCTTTAGAGGGATCTCACTAAGTTAGCTTTGGTACAAAACACATCTTTTTAGAGGGATCTCACTAGATTAGCTTTGGTACCAAATACACCTTCTTTAGAGGGATCTCACTAAGTTAGCTTTGGTACAAAACACATCTTTTTAGAGGGATCTCACTAGATTAGCTTTGGTATCAAATACACCTTCTTTAGTGGGATCTCACTAAGTTAGCTTTGGTACCAAATACACCTTCTTTAGAGGGATCTCACTAGATTAGCTTTGGTACAAAATACACCTTCTTTAGAGGGATCTCACTAAGTTAGCTTTGGTACAAAACACATCTTTTTAGAGGGATCTCACTAGATTAGCTTTGGTACCAAACACACATTCTTAGATGCATCTCGCTAGATTAGCTTTGGTACCAAATACACCCTTTTTAGAGGGATCTCACTAGATTAGCTTTGGTGCAAAACACATCTTTTTAGAGGGATCTCACTAGATTAGCTTTGGTACCAAATACACATTCTTAGAGGGATCTCACTAGATTAGCTTTGGTAGCAAACACATCCTCTTCACGCGTAGTCACTAGATTAAATCTTCAACTGAAGATGCATATACAACAAATAATCATTATGTCAATTAAGGGGCTTAGGGTTAGGAAATATACGACTATTGATTTCAATTTTAACTGCATAAATACACGGACATTTGGTAGTGTTGACGGTTTCATCTGAAATACACATGAAATATTAGTTTTTATGGAAGTATCCATAGTTGAGGTGATACTTGACCGAGGCATACCTTATCACACACCGGGCTTTAAGAGCATAACATCTGTAAAGGTCAAGGTAACAAGTGTTTTTAGTGACGCGACCTTAATCTCAAAACAAAACAACAAGAAAAAAAAAACAAACACAAAACTGAGTGATATTCTTCTGTTAAGTGCAAACCTAATATTAAACAAATCTGAGTTTTTTTATTGTCCAAATTTCAGAGTAATGATGTTGTAGTGTCCTGCACCAATCCTACATTAACTCCAGTGGAATCATACACCAATGGCGTTGCTGCCAAGGCTAACAAAGTGACGTTAGCGCCAGTGTCATTGTCCAGTCGCACTGATTATGCTGAGTACACACAATGCCAGCCACGTAGGTTTTTTTTCTTCGCTTCTTACATTTCTAAAAGACATATGACAAGGGGCGAGCCTAACAACAATGACCAACTATTGGGGAGAGCCAGGTGATCTTTTCCCCATGCAGCAAGACGGATCATTCTTAAACAATGTGTTGGCATTTAAGTACAATACTTTCATTTAGTACAACACTTTCATTAAGTACAACACTTTCATTAAGTACAACTCTTTCATTAAGTACAACTCTTTCATTAAGTACAACTCTTTCATTAAGTACAACACTTTCATTAAGTACAACTCTTTCATTAAGTACAACTCTTTCATTAAGTACAACACTTTCATTAAGTACAACTCTTTTATTAAGTACAACACTTTCATTAAGTACAACACTTTCATTAAGTACAACACTTTCATAATGTAGAAAGCTTTCATTTAGTACAACACTTTCACAACGTGCAGCGCTTTTATTAAGTTCAAGGCTTTCATTGTAATAGTATAATAAAATATCACCTTAAGTCTGTGTAACAAAAAACCTTTGATTTAAAAGTCTGCAGTATTTTTATACCCCACATCACTTGACAACCCCACATCACTTGACAACCCCACATCACTTGACAACTCACTCAAGTTACCCAAACAATTTTCACACATTGTAGTTGAAACAGTCATGAAAACAACTCACCACGTCCAGTTATACAACATGGAAAAACACAGACTATTAGGTCAAAACGTTTGTACATGCTGCAGCAATAATCGTATGTCACTCATAATGCCACATCTCCCTTTTAATAAGACAATCAATAGTTCATCAAGCTATGAATGCACAATTATATCAATATGATTAGGGAATATTGTCCGTCTTTGAATGCACAAATGTTTCAAATATTGATTGTCTTTATCAAGGTAGCATACTAGTGGTTCCACTTGCCTATCATATCTTGTTTTCACTTGTGCTGGAATATGATTGGTGGCAGTTTGTAGGCGACACATTGACTACAGTCTCTATTTCAACCTCTGGGTTGGTACCTTTTGGTTCATGGGTTGGTACCTTTTGGTTCATGGGTTGGTACCTTTTGGTTCATGGGTTGTATCGGGGATTTCCTGTTCGAATGCACCCGGAGAACTGCTTTGCCCGCAAAATGTCTCTTTTAACATTTTCCGATTTCCTTGATAAGCAATCCCATCGGTTGTCTTGACAAGTTATGACCTTGGCGTGGAGACTTCTATGACCTTAGTGAAGAGGCATCTGAGATAACTACTGCTGGCTGCCCTGGCATGAGCTTTGAGGGCTGTTATGCATATGGACACTGCTCCCAGGCTGAATATGTGGACGGCCCTTCAGTTTCGCAGTTTTGCTGTAATTTCTTCCTTGAGTGTATTTTTTTCTCTTCTAGATGCTGGCCATTTCTTTTGGGTCTAGAACTTAAGGCTTGAGGTAGGGGCATCAGTAGCAGGAAGAGTTGATCTTAGGCGTCTGCCCATGTGTAGCTGTCAGATGAAGGTATATTGGGGGGGGGGTGGAGCATTTCTAAATTGCAAGAGGAATTTTCATGAATCTTGGCCCAAAGAGTTAGCTTTCTTTAAAAGTGTCTTTACTGCCTATAAAGCGCTTTTAACCACGCCATTGGACTGTAGGTACCTGTAGCTTGAATTGATTTGACTAGATCTCCTGCATTTTGAGAATTTTAGAAACTCTTCACAGCAAAACTTGGGTCCATTGTTACAAATTACTTTTCTTTGGATGCCATGGTTAGCAAATTGAGACGTCATTTGAATAATCACACCACAAGCTCTGAGAAACGGAATGAGACTAAATTCAAAGAATCTGCTGTAGTAATAAAAAAAAAAGTAAATTGTTGTTTCCAGTATAATTGAAAATATTAGCTCCATTTTTTTTTGCCAAGGAAGCGCTGGGATCGCGTTGGCCATCAGATGATCTTTTTGCTGGGACATTGGACAACCACTGCAGACTGAGCAACTCGATAAAATGTCTTTGATCTGTGATGTCATTCTTGGGCAGGAAATTAAATTCTCTTGCTGTAGCCAATCATTTATCACGCCCTAAATGTCCCTGATTATGTCTCTTGAAGATTTCTTTCTGCAGTGTTTTTGAAACTATAATTTGCTCTCCTTTGAAAAGTAAACCTTGGGTTTCACTTAGTTCTTATTTGAATCCAGCATACATTCTTATTTCTTGTGGAATCTGATATTTTCTATCTGGCCATATTGCTAAAATAGGCTGCCTTAAATGTCTCAGAGTAGCAACGTCCTTTGCTTGTTGAAATACTTTCATTTTTTCTTCTGCAAAAAGTAGACTGTTGGCTATTAGATGAACCTGTGCGTCCCAGTCATCACTTGATGGATAATGCCTTGGTAGTGATGATCATAAGAGGGTTTCTAAGATAAAAATTTCTTTGCCAGGATTTAATCCAAAACGATTTCATATTTTATGAGTCATAGAAGAATTCTCTGAAGCCTGGTTCGTGCAGATGACAAAGGCTTTTAATGGTCGTGTCCAATGGCTTGTGATCTGTCTCTATTATGACCTGGCGCTCATAGACAGAGTAATGTCTCTCATAACATTTTCTGATTTCCTCGATATGTAATCCCATCATTAATGAAAGAATGCATCATTCAACTTTAAAAAATCCTTGAAAATTACTTTGGTATTTCTGGTTCAGTTTTGGCTTGGTTTAGGTCCTAACTCTATGAAAAAATTCAGGCGGTCTCTGTCGATGGCTGTCTCTCGGACAGTGCTGATTTGGTGTACGGAGTGTGACAGGCGTCCGTTTAGAGCTATTCACAATGTATACCAGGCCACTGCTCCTCTTGCTCGAGAGGCATGCTACGGAGAGCCAGTCATTCTCAGATGACACGCAGCTATACAAGCATAACCATCCCTCTCTTGTCGATTCCGCTGTCCGTACTTTGTGGGAGAGCATTGGTGATGTCGAGACATGGATGACACTCAGCAAGTTGAAGCTTAACAATGACAAAACGGAAGCAATTCTTATGCACGATAACAAATCATCCTTTAACTCAACCCTCCCCACTTCATTTCATGGAGGTAACTAAGACATACAGTTTACATCGTCCGCTAGGAATCTTGGTTATATTCTAAATAACAAAATGTCTCTCGATAATCATGTCTCTCACATTTATTGCTCTGCATACACCGCTATTCATCAGACTAGCTCTATTCGCCACTACCTCAAAGTTAGGGGGAAAAAAACCTATAGTCCATGCTCTTGTTCCCTCTCTCATCTTGACTATTGTAGCTCACTTCTTTCAGGTTCATCAAAACACTTCTTAGACAAATAACAAAAGGTTCGAAACTCAGCTGCAAATCTAATTCTAAAGGCGAAAAAAACGTGATCACGTCACACCACTACTTCATTCACTTCATTGGCTCCCTGTACAAGCGTGGATTGATTACAAACTTTCTGTTCATTTCCATAACTTTTCCTCGAATTCCTCCCCTTCCTTTCTCACTGAACTTCTCTCTGTCTATTCACCCCTTCGACAACTTCGCTCCTCCGCAGACGCGCGTATTCTTTCTGTCCCCAAGACTCGCACAAAAACACACGGTAAACGATCTTTCTCTTTCTGTGCACCCAAACTATGTAATTCTCTTCCACTACACATCCGCAATATACCGACCTTAACAGCCTTCAAAACTGCACTCAAGACACATCTCTTTAAACTTTACTATCCTGACTGATGCCCCCACTAGAACCTCTCTATCAGCGGGTACCACTGGCCTAATAAGTGAGTTAATTTTGATTGTATACTCTTCTTCCATGGAAACAAGACCACTGAATATATCTGCAAAGGAAGACAATGTTTTGTATCCAATAACATCCGCCCTTTTAATAAGATTCAGTGGATGGCAACCCAGCAGTCCCAAAGTTAGCTTGGATTGCGTGATTACAATTTAAAATTCAAACCTCTCAGTTTGTTTCCTTGACTGTGCCTTTGATCAATGCCTTGCCTACAACACACACTCGTTCAGTACTGTATGTCGTTAGCCTGGCAGTTGTCTTCGGCAGTGTCCTCCTTCCAAGTTGACTAAACAATCTGTTGAGGAGAATTTTTACCTGGGCTCCAATCACAAATCATCCTCTACCTCAACTCTTCCCACCTCATTTCAAGTAGGTAACTCCGACATCCAGTTTACACCCTCTGCTAGGAATCTTGGTTATATTCTTTCTAACAACATGTCTCTCGATAAACATATCTGTCACATTTGTCGTTCGGCATACACCGCCATCCGTCAGATCAGCTCCATACGTCACTACCTCACAGTTAGCGCAACAAAAACTCTAGTCTGTGCTCTTGTTCTCTCTCGTCTTGACTATTGCAACTAACTTCTGTCAGGTTCACCGAAATATTTTATAGAAAAACTGCAGAAAGTTCAAAACTCTGCTGCTAGGCTTGTTCTTAAGGCAAAAAAACGCGATCACATCACTCCACTACTCCACTCACTACATTGGCTCCCTATACAGGCACGCATTGACTACAAGCTGTCTCTTCTCTGTCACAACTTTTTCTCGGATTCCTGCCCTTCCTATCTAACTGAACTTCTTTCTGTCTATTCACCCCTTCGACAACTTCGCTCCTCCGCAGACTCGCGTATTCTGTCCGTTCCCAAGACACGCACTAAATTATATGGTGAACGATCTTTCTCTTTCTGCGCCCCCAAACAATGGAATTCTTTGCCACTACACATCCGCAATATAACAACCACACAGGCCTTCAAAACTGCACTCAAAACACATCTATTTAAACTATACTACTCTGACTGATTCTCCTCCTATAAACCGATAAACGTACATGGGTTTCCTTGTAAAAATGTCTGGTGTGGGTGGATGAATATACCTATGGTGTTGTTTTGCTTATATGTTGTTTTTATTTCATTTATGTATTTTATTTTAATATTATGATTATGCCTCTTTGCTATATATGTACAGCGCGGTGAGCCCAGCCCTAGGCCGGGGTACCGCGCTATATAAGACCACTTATTATTATTATTATTATCATTTAGTGTGTGCGGGACATTTTCTTGGTAGTTACTGTTTGTATTTGCCCACGGTCTTCTTGATATCCCTTCACCTGACGTCACTGCCTGTGCACCACATTAGTTACTCAGTAGTCTATGCTGCCACTCCATTGTCTCCGCTGACCTGCATATGTTTTCCGCCGTCAGGACATTCAGGTCAGACTCTTTGTCCTTTATCAACGAGTCTTCCACACTTTCGAATGCACATGACTTTGTCTGGGGTTTGAAGTCGACTGAAAAATATCAAATGTGTCTCAGCCACTTTGACTTCATCAAAAAGAAATAATGAATGGTTTCCATTTTTGTTAAATTCTTCCTTGGTAAACAGTGATTCTCAAATTTCTTCAAAATAGAATGGACTGTGTGGAAAAGGCCTATTTATGTCACATTTTTCGTCAGTTAATTGAATCGTATTGGCAACTTCAACTGCAACCTGACCTATCGACTGCAACCTGGCCTATCAACTGCAACCTGGCCTATCAACTGCATCCTGGCCTATCAACTGCAACCTGGCCTATCAACTGCATCCTGGCCTATCAACTGCATCCTGGCCTATCAACTGCAACCTGGCCTATCAACTGCATCCTGGCCTATCAACTGCAACCTGGCCTATCAACTGCAACCTGGCCTATCAACTGCATCCTGGCCTATCAACTGCAACCTGGCCTATCAACTGCATCCTGGCCTATCAACTGCATCCTGGCCTATCAACTGCATCCTGGCCTATCAACTGCAACCTGGCCTATCAACTGCATCCTGGCCTATCAACTGCAACCTGGCCTATCAACTGCATCCTCGCCTATCAACTGCAACCTGGCCTATCAACTGCATCCTGGCCTATCACCTGCAACCTGGCCTATCAACTGCAGCAAAGTCATGCTCAGCCCCTCTTTACTCTTGGTAGCCAGGCCACAGGCTGTCTTGTAAACTACAAAAGACTGCTTACATCTCTTCCAATGCACGGCAACATTTCCATTTAATTTCAGCTGTGGTGGCTGGTGGTGTCGCTCCATCTGACACCATGTAATAGTATAATAAGATATCAACTCTAGTCTGTGGTCTGTGTTGCAACTCACCTTTCATTCACAATTCTACATTATTTTTAATACCCCACATCACATGACCACTCACTCCAGTTCTCCAACCCATATTCACAGATTAAAGGCTAAATATTCCACAATGTCCAGTCATACAACACGCACAACGTCCAGTCATACAACACGCACAAAGTCCAGTCATACAACACCCACAACGTTCAGTCATACAACACGCACAACGTCCAGTCATACAACACGCACAGAGTCCAGTCATACAACACCCACAACGTTCAGTCATACAACACGACAATCGGGTCGTAAACTTTAATGAGTAAACACTACAACAGTAAGCGTCAGTCATGCATCATGTCACAGTCAATGAGTACAGTGCCTTTATTCACTGCAACACTTTCATTAAGTACAACGCAGTCATTAATTACAGCGCTGTCAGTAAGTACAACACTTCCATTAAGTACAACGCAGTCATTAATTACAGCGCTGTCAGTAAGTACAACACTTCCATTAAGTACAACGCAGTCATTAATTACAGCGCTGTCAGTAAGTACAACACTTCCATTAAGTACAACGCAGTCATTAATTACAGCGCTGTCAGTAAGTACAACACTTCCATTAAGTACAACGCAGTCATTAATTACAGCGCTGTCAGTAAGTACAACACTTCCCATCTACTTTTCCATGTCATTTAAACTGGACAAAAGTAAACCTTTGAATTTACGCATATTCTCACATATTATACACATAAGATCTACAAGACTGTATCAATCAATGTTTTAAATTTTAATTTAAGAGGAGTTTTTTTTTTAATCGATGTTGATATTATTAATGGTACACACTACTTAAGAATATCAATATTTAATGGTACATTAGGTTATTTAAGTTGTCGATATTTGTTGCACGACGTTATTAAAGTAGTGTTAGTGTTCTTAATCATGGATGTATGCTTTATTGATAAAAAAACTGATACTATATAGTTATACTTGGGGGTTCATTAAAAAAATGTCTGCGTGATTTATTCGCATAAAGATGATTTTGGTAAACATATTTTAGATATACACCATTAAGACATTTTAAAATAAACATTCTATAAATAGCTTGTTATATTATGATATATAATATATATTTTTTAAAATAAAATAGCCAACCCCACCATTAGGCTCCACGGTATTAGAGACAGACCAGGTATGGGCTATGTCCAGGTCAATGTCAATGGTGAATGGCAGTACATCTGTGATGACAAGTGGAGCGAGAACGATGCTAAAGTTGTCTGCAGGGAGCTTTGCTACAGGTAATTAGTGCATACTTTTAGTGTGTGTAAGATACACGCATAAATTGACTTGCAGCAGTCTAATATTAATTCTGTTTAAAATCTAATGCAAACAGTTCGTTCAATGTAACATAGCAAGTTAGTAAACTTGTTGCAGTATTTCCAAAATATAGGACTCTACTTTTAAGATAAAATTTTCACGGTTTTAAAATGATTTTTTTTTGGGGGTGGGGGGGTTTCTTCTGCATGAAGGTGTCCCCACTCTCTTCCTTTCAGTCTTAATATGTATCGTCTTAAAATATTTACAATACATTGTTTAACATAAACATATTGGTTATATTCATAAATATGTGCCCACATTCATGCCCGGCCTTAAACTGTATGTCTTGTAAATTAGGCAAACCTAGATGTCCATTAGGATGCAACTAAAATGGCATCCTCTCTTTTCTAATTTACAACTTTTTGGAGGAATGGGTATAATAATGTAAATGTATCCACCGTTTTTCAAAGCCAATGAACTCTAATTTCTTAAAATGGCATAACATATTTTTATTAGTTTAAAAATTGAAACTTCTATGTGACGTCATCAGATTTAAATACATTCAACAACATACAATGTGTTCATCATCTTTACTTAACTTGAAATACAGTTTTAGAGGGTTTTTAAATGCACTATCTAAATTAGTTTTCTCCTCATCTCCTCATGTCCCCTAGTCCTTGGACCGTTGGGGCGCCACAGATGACATGTGAACCATCCTCCTCCTCATTTCCTCATGTCCCTTAGTCCTTGGACCGTTGGGGGGCCACAGATGACATGTGAACCATCCTCCTCCTCATTTCCTCATGTCCCTTAGTCCTTGGACCGTTGGGGGGCCACAGATGACATGTGAACCATCCTCCTCCTCATTTCCTCATGTCCCTTAGTCCTTGGACCGTTGGGGCGCCACAGATGACATGTGAACCATCCTCCTCCTCATTTCCTCATGTCCCTTAGTCCTTGGACCGTTGGGGCGCCACAGATGACATGTGAACCATCCTCCTCCTCATTTCCTCATGTCCCTTAGTCCTTGGACCGTTGGGGCGCCACAGATGACATGTGAACCATCCTCCTCCTCATTTCCTCATGTCCCTTAGTCCTTGGACCGTTGGGGCGCCACAGATGACATGTGAACCATCCTCCTCCTCATTTCCTCATGTCCCTTAGTCCTTGGACCGTTGGGGCGCCACAGATGACATGTGAACCATCCTCCTCCTCATTTCCTCATGTCCCTTAGTCCTTGGACCGTTGGGGCGCCACAGATGACATGTGAACCATCCTCCTCCTCATTTCCTCATGTCCCTTAGTCCTTGGACCGTTGGGGCGCCACAGATGACATGTGAACCATCCTCCTCCTCATTTCCTCATGTCCCTTAGTCCTTGGACCGTTGGGGCGCCACAGATGACATGTGAACCATCCTCCTCCTCATTTCCTCATGTCCCTTAGTCCTTGGACCGTTGGGGCGCCACAGATGACATGTGAACCATCCTCCTCCTCATTTCCTCATGTCCCTTAGTCCTTGGACCGTTGGGGCGCCACAGATGACATGTGAACCATCCTCCTCCTCATTTCCTCATGTCCCTTAGTCCTTGGACCGTTGGGGCGCCACAGATGACATGTGAACCATCCTCCTCCTCATTTCCTCATGTCCCTTAGTCCTTGGACCGTTGGGGCGCCACAGATGACATGTGAACCATCCTCCTCCTCATTTCCTCATGTCCCTTAGTCCTTGGACCGTTGGGGCGCCACAGATGACATGTGAACCATCCTCCTCCTCATTTCCTCATGTCCCTTAGTCCTTGGACCGTTGGGGCGCCACAGATGACATGTGAACCATCCTCCTCCTCATTTCCTCATGTCCCTTAGTCCTTGGACCGTTGGGGCGCCACAGATGACATGTGAACCATCCTCCTCCATTCCTCGCTGTTATTTATTTATTTATTTAGGCATTTTTATATAGCGCTTATCATAAAGCTCTAAGCTTTATAATTAAGTTATAATTAAGTTTTGGAAATAAATGTACTTATCAAATACCCCAAGCCATATTGTGGCGTAAATTGTATTGTCTGTTGCACCCAGCTAAGCTTGGGCCCATAATGTGTTTTCCTAGGCACGCAGCAATTCTTCGGCGCATAATGTGTATTTTCGTAGGCACCCGACATATTGGGGCACATAATGTTGCTGTCTTTGTACCAGGCCATACTGTGGAGCATAATTTGTGCTGTTATTGTACCAGGCCATACTGTGGAGCATAATTTGTGCTGTCTTTGTACCCAGCCATACTGTAGAGCATAATTTGTGCTGTCTTTGTACCTAGCCATACTGTACCACATAATTTGTGATATCTTTGTATCCAGCCATACTGTGGAGCATAACTTGTGCTATCTTTGTGAACCCAGCCAAACTGTACCACATAACTTGTGCTGTCCTTGTACCCAGCCATACTGTGGCGCATAATTTGTGTTGCATAGTGTAAAATATAAAATTGCATCCATATCCCCTACAAACAAAGTTTATGTTTTTAAAAAACATTAACAAAAGCAGCCTAGAGTTATTTATATCGGTATTTTTCAAACTTTAATATTTAAAGAAAATATAACAATGCAATTATCATTCTTTAACGCCCATGCTCTACAAAAAATATATATATATAAAAAATTAAAATCACATTCTTCACTTACAACAAAGTTTAGTGTTTTAAATATATGTAGCATTAACGACTTCAAAAAATTGTTACCTTTATTAAATATTTGGTAAACCTCTGCCTACCTTCTGGAATGTATATTGTGAAAATCGTTCTAAAGAAGATTCTTATTTTCAAAGCCGCATATCGTTTCCAGTTTCAAAATGCAAAAAAAAAAAAAAAAAAAAAAAAAAAAAAAAAAAAAAACAATAAACCAAATTAAAAAAAAAAAAAAAAAAAAAAAAAAAAAAAAAATATAAAAAAAAATCCATATTCCGTATTTAAATAAAATCATAAAACCTCTTAATTTGTTCCCGTCCCTGAATTTTATTTTCCGGAAATGAAAAAGAAAATGTAATTTATTTTTAAAGTTTATATTTTCAATCCCGCAAAGCGATTGTGCTTTAGATATTGTCATTCTCATAAAAAATTAAAGGACTTTCGTTTTTTTAGAATTTTAATTGTATTTCCGAAAAATATTTACAATACATTCTATTTAATTGAACATTTTGTTATCCTTGGAAATATTTGCCCTTCATGGACTTTTGATATATGGATACACGTCGGTTCATGTGTCCACAATGTGTCAGTGACGCTGAAAGGCATTTTCCGAAATTACAGTAACTCGTATTTAATTTTTTTGGAAAGAAAATCTAAAAGCTCATAATCACCACTGTAATATTATCGAATTTAACTATATCCTTATTCAGATAATAACGCACACATTCCATAAGTTTTATAATTGGTACAGCAATATTATTTAAACTTAATGTTACGGAAATATAATTTTCATTTCACGAATATTTATAATACAATGACGCCTTTTATACAATCTAACATTGAGGTTTTCTACTAAACTAAACTAATATAATTTAATTTTATAACAATTTCTTTCAAATGAATACAACACTACACAGAGGAAAGCATTGCTCCAATCTCTTTCACTAGGCACCTCTGGAAAACACAAAATCTGGTCTCGTGGTTTCATTATTTTCGAAACGTTTTAAAAACAACATTGGTACTTTATGTCAAGAAAATCGAACGCGCTCTATTGACCTGTTTCAATAAAGTTCTTATAAGATTACTCTAATTTGTGTTCCAGCATTTTCAAGCAAAAATTTTAATTTTATATCCTTTGAAGAGTGACAATGGTTGTGTATTTCGATGATATTAGTATTAATACTATTTCTTCACAAAAGACTCTCAAGGCTGTTAAAGACGTGAATAAAGGTTAAGAGATTCTTCTTTAGATTAAATCATTATTTGTTTTCCGATTTTCAGATAATATAGTAGAAAAAAAGGCACAAGTTTGGTTACACTCTTACTGAAGATATCAGTAGGCCTATACCAAGTATCCGTTAATAGAAAATATATCTCAAATGATGTATAGAGCTTCTGTTGCATATTTAAGATTATGCTTTCACAATTTTCAAAGGAAAAAAAAAATGTATTTCTTGGGCACGTATTTTTTTGTATTTCAAGGTAGGGTAGGCCCAGAATTTAACAATAAAAAAACACAAAACATATAATATATTTCTCTAGCGTAGAAATGAGCCGTCAATGAACTCCTGTAGTTACCATACTGATTTTTTAGATTTGGTGTTTTAAGGTCATGTTTAGAGAAAGCAGTTGTTGTTTATGAGCGTGGGGTAGTGTAGGCTATATAGGCTATATAATATGTAGCAGAAAATCTTCTTAACCCTTAATGATGTTAGAAAACAGTAAAAAAAAATATACTTAAATAAGCATAGGTGATTTATTTTTATCATTTCTAAATTGATTTGATTTCCGTAATTTAATAGACAAATTCTTATCTTTCTTTTTAAGAATACGAACCTATTTAAAATCATTTCGTTTTTTAAGCGTTGTGTGATCAGCCTAGCTTTTTCATATCTATTTATATATGTGATACGTTTTACATCTTTGAGAGGTCAAGTAATTTAACACTGAACACAATGTTAATATTTAATAGCACCACACACAGGAAAGACGTTTGTGAAACCCCTCCCCCCCCCAAAAAAAAAACAACAAAAAAACAACTTTACATTAAAAGATCATGACTGATCTATACGCAACACAAACTTATTTTCAAAATAATTGTATAGGTCATATAGGGAAAAATTCTAACGTAGATCTCCGGACCCAGGCATTTCCTGACATAAAATATTTTGTATTATTAGTGTGGGTAAGATAAGTAAAATAAGGGCCTTCAATACATGGTGTCTGATCCTTCAATTAATTGATACCAAGCCACACATTTTTATTTTTTTCCGTAGCGAACCCACCTGTGCTCGTCCTGGAATAGAGAATGAGTACAGCCCCTTACTTGATGAAACGCCGACATTTGCATGGAACAGGGTCCAGTGCACAGGAGATGAGAACATCTTAAATAATTGCCCCAGGAACAACACCACACCGCCAGGACAATGTAGTCGACAAGAGCTGGCTGGGGTACAGTGTGTTGTGATCAATGAGACTTCTGCTGGTAATCTTAAACATAATTTTATTACAACTTTAAATGAGTGTCTTTGCAGTGGCGTAAGACAAGGGTAGTGGTACCTACGACAGTGGCTGGGGTCCGTAAGACAGGGGCAATGGTCTCAAAGACAGTGGTGGTGGTCCGTAAGACAGGGGCGGTGGTCCGTAAGACAGGGGCGTTGGTCCGTAAGACAGGGGCTGTGTTCCGTAAGACAGGGGGGTGGTCTGAAAAAAGGGGTGGATGTCCGTAAGGCAGGGGTTGTGGTTCGTAAGACAAGGGCGTTGGTCCGTAAGACAGCCGCGGTAGTCCGTAAGACAGGGTCTGTGGTCTGAAAGACATGGATGGTTTTCCGTAAGACAGGGGTGGTGGCCTGAAAGATAGGGGTGGTCCGTAAGACAGTGGCGGCAGTCCGTAAGACAGAGGCAGCGGTCCTTGAGATAGGGGTGGCTGTCCGCAAGACAGTGGCGGCAGTCCGCTACGGGTGGAAATGTAAAAAAAAATAAGCTTGTTAAGTGGCAAAGTGTTGAACTTGAAAATGGCTTAGCCACGTCAAAACGACGTGGATTTGACAAACTGTTCTTGGCTCAGCACCCTTTAAAGATGATACAGCTAAACTCAGTGTGTGTTGCTTTTATTGACACAGCTATGGAAGCTCAGATGGAATGTTCGAACTTAAACGGAGACATCGTAGTCCACTTCACACACGACAACTTCCCTACCATAAACGATGACAGCATCAGGGTCGCCAACACCCCCGCGGACTGCACGACACGAGCTCAGAGAGTGCAGTCCACTGGGCCGGAAAAAGGGAATTACAACCTGAGAATCCCTGCACAAGGTTGTGGTACAACCAAGACTGTGAGTATTTGGTTCTACTTTTTTATCTTTCGTTAAGAATTTCCTTACACTGAAAGATTTGAACTACAAGAACAACAACAAGACACTGGTTGAGCTGACAGTGTTATTAATAGTATAGATCACCTTGTGGTGAAAATAAAGCTCACACGATCATACTTTCGTCAAATTTGCGTCAATTTTTTTTTAGAAGTCCCTGTTTGTGTAACAACATAGTTCGCTGAAAAAGAAATTGGAAGACAATTTGACGAAAAGTTGAAGAAGATTAGATTTTGTGACCTTAGCATTATGCTCCATTGACAGATTATATTATTAAATGATATCATTTTAACATGATGTACATTCTAAATTGCTTTGACAAATTTGCGCTGAATTTTAAAAAATTTTAAACCAAGTTTAAAAAAAGTTAAATCTAACTTTGAATGTCAACCATACAACCAGGACAATTCTACACACATTTGCTACAGTAACACAGTGGAGTATGACAATGAAGCTTATAGAGGCAACCTTCTGTTAGACTACAAGAAGAAAACGTAAGTCTTATTTTTGCTTGCATTTGTTTAAAATTTAATATCTGCAACCCTAATTCCATATGTTTATATATTTGGTTGATAGATTTGGTTGATAGATTTGGTTGATAGATTTGGTTGATATATTTGGTTGATAGATTTGGTTGATAGATTTGGTTGATAGATTTGGTTGATAGATTTGGTTGATAGATTTGGTTGATAGATTTGGTTGATAGATTTGGTTGATATATTTGGCTGATAGATTTGGTTGATAGATTTGGTTGATATATTTGGTTGATAGATTTGGCTGATAGATTTGGTTGATAGATTTGGTTGATAGATTTGGTTGATAGATTTGGTTGATAGATTTGGTTGATAGATTTGGTTGATAGATTTGGTTGATAGATTTGGTGTGGTCAGCCTAGAAAGGTAAACGTTCTAAAAAAAAAAAAGGAAGGAACAGAAAAGAAAATAAAAAAAACAAAAAAAAAAAAAAAAAAAAAAATAAAAAAAAAAAAAAAAAAAAAAAAAAAAAAAAAAATAATAAAAAAAATTTGGTTGATAGATTTGGTTGATAGATTTGGTTGATAGATTTGGTTGATATATTTGGTGTGGTCAGCCTAGAAAGGTAAACGTTCTAAAAAAAAAAAAGGTTGGGCCAGAAATGCTAATTACAAAAACAAAAAAAAAACAAAAAAATAAAGTTAAAAGTTAAACAAAATAAATAAAAAATAATAAAATAATGAAAAAAGTGTATTAATTAAAAAACATGGTACATAGCAGGAACCAGTTAATTAAATGTCGTGGTACTAAGTAAGGAACGAAGCAATAACAACAATAACAATAACCAGAATTTTTTTTTTGAAAATATCAGTTTCTAAAAAACTAAAAAGAATAATCGACGAATATTGTAGTCGAATTATATGAATTTATTTCCCAATGACATTTTGGTTCTCTTGTGTCTCCGTAAATGAGGTTGTCTTCATGATGTCCTTCCCGATAGAATGTGTAAATATAAACTAGTTACAATTCTTGTAATTAAAAGACCTACACAAGATCATTTCGTCGTTTTTAATCTGTTCATTTTTATATAAAAAATACAAATCTTGAACTCCCATTTAACATTCTTAAATACTTGCATTTAAAAAAAACCTTTGAAAGACAGATTTCAAACATTATTCCTTAATCAAAATTAATAAAAATCTTATTGCTAAACTATCGAAAAGCAAGACTGTGTTACTCTTCCAACCTCAGCTTCTCAGTAAGCTGCTGTATGCCAACTGACAAGAACGTCAGCATTAAGTTCATCCCCAAGACCCAGGAATACGCCCAAAGCATGAGTCAAACATTCGACTACACGGTAAACGTTCAATAATGTATTATACATTCGTTCATTCTTTGTCTACCATTCGTATGAACAATGGCTTTAGGCATCCATTACCATTATAGTATAAACTTTGGTTATTTTATTTAAAAGGGATTTAATTTCCTTAAAGATTGTTCAAATTTATAACTATATGTTGTAAAGTTTCACAGTTTTACAATTTATTAAATGACCTATGATTTTGGCTAAAATGTCAAAATCATACTAGTTGATTTTTTAGGAAAGACCTTTTCAAAGTAATCCACTTTAACTATACATAAATGAATGTTAATTTCAAATATTAGAAACTATGTAATGAAACCTAATTCAAACGTAAGGTAAGTAATGCTGTTAGATTTGGTGTCTCCTGAATTGGTATGTGCTAGATAAAGTGACAAGCTCAATATTTTGTGACAGACATATTAAGGTATTTCAAAGTAATGCCTATAGCTATTTTCTCCACAGCCTGAGATCAGCTTCTACCAGAATGAAAGATGCGATGACAAAATCACCAGAGACCCTTACACCGTGGAGGTCGGCGATTGGGTGTACATTGGCGTCAGTGTCAAGGCCGAGAACCAGTCCCTGTTCAGAGACAGTGATCTGAAGCTGGTCGTAACAGGTTGTACCGCCAACCCCATTCGAGGAGATAAGATCAGTAACGCCCCCGAAATTGCGACATTAATTGACGAAAAGTATGTGGCTAGAGGATAGATTAAATACATTTTAAAAATGCGTTGAGTATGTTCCCACACAAAGAATAATTTATAAAGAAATTAAAAAAAAAACACTATTTTACGTTAGCGTAAATTTTAACTTTCATGAAATAGTTATACATTGAGATCAGTGACTATAATATTTTCTAAACTATTCAGAAGAAGTCAATCTGTGTTTATATTCATTAATGCTTTAATAGAGGTAAAATACCCGAAACAACAACAAACAAATAAACAAAAAACACCAAAAAAAATTAAATAAAAAAACTTAAAGAACACTTTAAAAACCCTTTAAATTATTTTTTTTCAAGTTAGCTCAGGAATATAAATAATTCATTGGCGACCATTTAAGTGTTGATGTGACATTGGTAGATCACTTTTCTGTTATTAGCACTAGATCCACGCAAACAAGCATTGTGGTTTTAGAAATGTCTAAATGGAGGCCATTTTGGTAAACACAATAGTCTATTAACTGCTTCCTTAGATTGAACTAGGAATTCACAACTCTGATGTCATTAAGTGAATTTGAGTTTTCATTATCACGCACAAGGTCCGTTGGTTTCTTATCAAAATGATCCTTTATTTATCTGATGTTGCTGTCAGTACAGTCTCTTAGGTTCTGAAATTTGTGTTTGTTTACATTTTTTACCAGCCACCAAGCTAGGTACATTGTTGTTGTAAGAAGTATATTTAGCACAATAACACCATTGTTGTTAGAAGTATAGTTAGCTTATTTCCTACTGATCTTGTAAGAAGTATGGCACTTTTCACTACTGCTGTAAGAAGTATAATTAGCACTTTTCACTACTACTGTAAGAAGTATATTTAGCACGTTTCACTACTGCTGTAAGAAGTATAATTAGCACTTTTCACTACTGCTGTAAGAAGTATAATTAGTACTTTTCACTACTGCTGTAAGAAGTATATTTAGCACTTTTCACTACTGCTGTAAGAAGTATAGTTAGCACTATTTCACCACTACTGTTAAAATTGTGTGTGTTTTTTCTCCCACCGTAGATGTCCATCTGATCTGGCCAGTGTCACCACCTACCCCATCAGCAACACCACTGAAGGTTTTCGATTCAGAGCTTTCAAGTTCTTCGGCTACTCCTCTGTCTACGTCAGATGTCACCTGCGTGTCTGCCTATCGTCAGATCCCAAGCCCCAGTGTGATAGGTGAGATGCGTATAATATACGTTAATAATAACGATTTAATAATACATTTTTAAAGAGAAAAACATGGATAGCGAAAGTATGTTTTTTTTTTTTTTAAATTAAAATACATCTCACTATATTTAAAACACTTTCTCTCTATAAATTCTAGCTTCTCGTAACACGTCTTATTTTTATTTTTTAAAATAATATTAAACAATTAAAACCCTACAGTCGTAAAATTATCCATAAACACATTGTAGACTGACTGATAACTTCAAACGTTATATTTGATATACAATTTATGATTTTTATTGTTATATTAAAATGAATCTAACCATCGTTCTATCTTCTTCATTTTTTTCTATCTTTAGATCCTGCGTTAAAAGTAACATCGTTGGACGTAAGAGGCGTAACTTGGCTGATAAAGTAACTGGACTGGACACAGTTGTCTCCCAGGTTCTACAGATCACCGACCCGATGCAGCCCCCATTGAATGCACTGCCAGCCCAGTCACACGAAGACAGGATGGTTGAAAGGACCAATCTACGTTTTCTTAAGCTTTAAGATTAACGGTCCATGACAAGGCTGACCTAGTTATTTATAGCTTGTGATTCTGGGAATTTGCGAGTTCGGAGAATAATTTCACGTTTAACAGATCTTTTCTGTTTAACGTGGCACAACAGATTCGTTTAAAATGAATATTATATAAATTGTTAAAAATGAAAAAAAATAAAGATAAATAAAAAACCATTTCAAGCTGACTGACTTATGAAGTATGTTGAAATTTAAGAATAATTTTTATGATATTTAAAATATGAAACAAATCATATTGTATTTGTAATCGATTATTTTTAAAAAAAAAATGAAATAAATCCAGCTTTAAAGGGAAATGTATAAATAAACCTTTCAATTTATGACAAATTTCATGTCACAGTTACACAATATTCATCATACCAGCAAAAATATCCTGCGTTTCCTGGCATTGCATTTGCAAAATTATTCTAAAAGCCAATGAGGTAGAATCGAAAATAATGGCCCTGTAAAAGATCGCTAAAGAAAAAAAAATAGAATTTTAATTTTCATGATGTGATCATGATTCCATTCAAATCAAGTTTCCAAATTTCCCGATGTGATTCCGTTCCAGGTGGGATCCCGATCTCAAACATTGGAAATGAATAGAATAAATTAACACTTCAATAAGTTTTGATCCAACTTTATATACCCGTGGAAGTATACAGACGTTTCTGGTACATTTGAGATGCAATTTACTAGCCCCATCGATAGTGTGAAAAATGTTTAGCTACCTACTTATTTTTCGAATACGAAAAATTCTACTAAAATCCCATAACTCAAAACATTTTTCATTTAAATTAAAAGTTCAAAAGTTTATCATTTTGGGAAAGCTCGAGATAAAAGAACTCTGATAAATAGTGGAGTTTACATTTAAAAAAAAAAAACAAAAAAAAACAACGGTCCCATTAAAATCAGTTTAGAATGCTACAAATTTAGATTAAATTATCGATCTTTCTGGAGAATTTTCGACAGGCCCTAAATGGATGGGATACTATTAATTTTAAATCCACCGATATTTCAGACCGAACTATGAAGGGTATTGATACCAAGGTAGGCCAAAAACCATCAATTTTCATAAATCATGTAGTGTTGTCTAAGCCTATTTATATTTATATAGCATACATAAGGAAAAATGAAATTTTTGCCCCCGACCCCGAAAGATATTTTGAGTTGCGTACCCCTCGGTATTTGAATATGGATAATCAAGTGTATTGGTACTTCTTTGGTCAAATCCACCTATTTATGTAGGAGTATTTGTCTTGTACTATTTTTTATAGATCATATTAGAAAATAAAATCTTGAATTTGGACCTCCGGCACCTAACGGATTTTTTTGTAAAGTTCACCCTCCCAGTATTTTATTCTGCATAATGATGGATATATGTGCCAAGTTTGGTCAAGATCCATCAATCCGTGAAAGAATCACGAGGAACCAACACAAATCCAAATTGTTTTCTTTTTCTTTAGAGATACTTATGAGATATATAAATAATCTATAAGTTATGATTTAGTACTCATATAATTTAAAAACCGAGAAATCTAACACGTCGGCACAGTATATTGTTCTTTGTTTGTTTGACTGAAGTTCGTGTTCTGATTTATCTGGTAACTCGGGATGTCATGATATTGGTGGGTGCTGGGTGGCCGAGTGGTCTAAACTGAGCAAATCTCAAGTTGGTGGTCTGGAGTTCAATTCCAGCTAGAGCAAAAACACCACCAGCACCCCGGGTAGATGAGACTCGTCAACCTTGAACTCATCTAAGAGAAGGAAACTCTGAAATCAAACCCGGAGATGGAGTCCCGAAAGGCGGATAACATTGATACAATGAAACATTCCGACAACTCCTGCGACGTCACTGGTGCCAAGCTGTATCATCCAATGATGTTCCCTTGGGTTACCCAGCGGTTTATCGGAGTGAATGAGATGGAAGAGGAGATTCCTCGCGGTCCTCAGGATGTTGAATTTCTATAAATCTATTGGATGCAGTAGCAGTTTTATCATCCATTGGTACAACCATCTGATCATCCATCGGTAGAACAGTCTGATGCATCTTCATGTGACCTTTTATGAAGTTGTTTAGTTACATCTTATTAATTTTAATACATTCAATCAAGTTGTTTATTTAGAGACTTCAAGTTGTTTGACTACAACTTCATATGATCGTCAATTAAGTTCTTTATTTATTTACAGCTTTAAATGATCCTTCATCAAGTTGTTTAATTACAACTTCACGTGATCTTCAATCAAGTTGTTTAGTTACAATTTCATGTGATCGATCACCAAGTCGTTTTTTTGTTGTTGTTTTGTGTACAAATCCCTTTTACAAGCTCCTATTGCCTTTGGAGTATCACCGCACCAACCCCTTCATCAGTTGGTAAGTAAGAAGCGTGTGTATTGTAAAATGTTGTTGATCTCACCTGCTGTTCTCTAAACGTTCATCTGTGTTTCTCGGGATCCGTCATGTGTGGTTTCAAAAGGTCTGGGCTACTGGTAGCAGTATTCTGGTTCTTCTGTTGATAAATTTCTGCGCTGCACGAATATCCGTTTGATTAGATGCTGGACTTTAACCATTTTAATTAAGCGCATTGCTGTGATTTAGTAAAGCTTATAATTGATCACCCTTATCCTTTATTAATAGGTTATAGATAGTATTAAATAATATTCTGCTTTGTCACTGGATCTTTTTTAGCGTGGGATAGTTGTGCAATGATCAAAAACCAAGTCTCTGGAAAATTTTACAAAGGTATCTGATAAGAAATGTTGCACATGGCATGCAAAGTAATTCAATATGAGGCTGATTGTTCTTTGCACTTTATGTTTTACGTTCAGGTTTTGGACAATGTTCATAACGCTGATGTCGCAGTGGTGACTACGTTCAGTAAAAAAAATTGTTATCCTGTCTCTGTTTCAGTCATCAACACGTCCATGACAAATTAATGGCGTCGCCTCTTATCTCCTACCGACCATTATCCATTTCAGAAAGTTGTTCAACAAATTGGATACCTTTCATCGTCTCGTATATCGGTTTCCATTCCCCGTAACACCTTGTAATATCTTTTTTACAAACACGGTTTTACCACTGCCTGTTGGACCGGCGAGAGGAATCGTAAAGGGAAGTTTCCACATAGGATCTATCACTGATAATATTATGTTGTATTCGTAGGATTCTATGTTATATCGTTTCCTATTTAATTTTCTCTCTCACAGACATGGTTTCAATAAAATACCTCGTTAAACAAAAAAGTTTGGATGGAATTGCAGGACAGAACATTTTGTAAAGGCTTCGAAGAAGAGCTACCGAGCCAGATGGGTCATGACTGAAACATTCGAAGTACAAATATATGGGCTGCTGAGCAGCGCAACAAACAGCATACTAAATAAAAATAAAGTCATTAGTTCTATTTACAGAAAAGTATGCGTTCGGCGTCAAAAGCTACGCAACCCGAGACCTCTCCATCCACCCCCGATGACGGATTGGATTATGGCCGTCTATTTGATGAACCAGACCAATTCATATAAACTGATTAAACATGTATCATATCTATTTTTTTCTTTCTTAATGTACTATCTATTGTTGTTTTTTTTAATACAAATATTTATTGTTATTTATTAATGTACAATTATTTAAAATTATGAAAATAAAAATTTAAAAAATTAAAACACACCTTATGAAATAACTAGTGACCCCCCCCCCCAACACTAGTTTCATAAACAGTCAAACTGTCAATAAACTCTTTAACAAATTAAACTAGTCCAATCACTGTTTTTAAACATTTAGTTATGCCATACTTTCAGAAACACTCAATCCATCAAAGATTGTACACCGAACAAGACCACTCATTCAAATTCATATTTCATTATCACACTACAAGAAATGTATTAAAATGAAAAATTAACTTATTAGCAAGTAATTAAATTATTACAAACCATCATACTACAAGACAATATTATTAATTAAAATATATAATATTTTAAAAAATCTCTCAGAAAGATAGATTATTAAAGAAAATTAAAAAGAATATATTCGATTATCCCCCCTAACTTGCACGCCAAGCAACTGCAGGCCACTAGACGCATTCCTCTATATTCTTTTTGCCTCCAACGCTTCCGAAATTCGCCACGAAAACAACCCACCATACTACTTAAGGGTTGTACTGGAAAACTTGAAGTTGCGCAGTTTTTTAAAAATACAATAGTAATTTATAGGTAACCAATTATTTTTTTTAAACTTTGTATATTAATATATGTAAACATTAAATAGCTATTAATTACAAAATAAATTATTAAGGATGAATTAATAGTTGAATATATTATTTTGCATCGCATTTTTTCAGTCAATGTTCTATCAGCATTTGGTGGATAATATATAGGGGAGGGCTGGTGGGTAAACAATAGTTGTGACTGGGGCACTGGTTTATTTATAGCCCGCGAATGACGCTATAAATATCCTAATAGCGTCTGGAAAAAAATATTCCCCACTCATGGTCTAATGATGCTTACAATCTTTCAATGTAACCTATTTCTAAATGTTCGAAAGTTCAGGTTTAAATCAATGTGGTGAAAAAGTTTGACTCCGTGAAATAAATAAATGGGGCCAACAATCCACAATGTCAGTGCCATGTTGAAATAACTAAAATGAGCAGTAAGATTTAATTCAAGATACAGGCTCCGATATTTGAATGATGATTAAAAACAATTTTAAGATCATGATTTGTGGGTCACAAATCTCTTGCTGCCGTCTCGGATACTACATTTCAGCAAATTGCTATTTTTAAAATTTAAATTCTTTTTTTTTTTTTTTTTTTTTTTATTGTTTTTTTTTTTTTTTTTTTTTTTTTTTTTTTTTTTTTTTTTTTTTTTTTTTTTTGTTTTTTTTTTTTTTTTTTTTTTTTTAACAGTTATTCGTTATTCTTGTCAACATGTTCGTTTTTATTATTTTTTTTCTTTTTTCAGGTTTTCTTATAATTTTTTTTCATTCATTTCCAAGATAATGATTGCCTACCGGTCATATAACGCAGTTTAAAGGGAATATCAACAAGAAAAGTATTTGATTAATATGGCGCGACAAACCA